AAGGGTAAAAGGGGTTTACGTTGTGCTATTCCGGCGATGATGGCAAAGGAAATGGATTGGGTAAAGTGCCAAGTACTGAGGTGAAAGAGGGATCATCAGTGCACACTCCACAGATAGGATGTGAGGGGACTGCTGCCACTGAACAGACCTCAGTGGGCATGTCAGAGAAGTAGATGGAGGCGCACCTGAAGTGGTGGGAAAGTACGAAGTCGGAGTGAGAAACGAAGGGCAACAGGATCGTGGATTTTGCTACTGCACATCATCTGGCAATTGCCAACACCTTCAAGAAAAATTTAAAAGGCACACAACGTACATCAGTGACGGACTGCACTCCCAGATAGAGAGATGGGGAAAACACTATTGAAAGAAGCAGCCACAAAAAGATAAACTGGTGGTGTGTAAAACGGAAATTCAAAACAGGGGAAAGCATCGACAGCAGTGAGTGAAGAAAACACGCTGGTGGAAGCAGAACGAGATAGATCTCAGGAAGGTTTGCGAAAAGAGTGAAAGAGGAATTAGTGCAACACGAGGATAGGCCTTGGGATGTGTTGAGCTCGACAATGAGGGCAACGGCAAAGGAGGTACTGGGTGAGACATGTGGGGAGGCTAGGAGGAAGGAGGAAAATTGGTGGTGGAATGCGGAAGCTTAGGAAGTGATAACGAGGAAAAAAGGTAATGAAGAGAGAGCGTGACTTGAATAGTTGTGATGATAAGTACAAGAAAGATAAGGAAGCAAAGAAAGTGGTAATAGAGAGAAACATGCATCATTTTTACCCCAGCATGGAAGAAATGAACGGTCTGATAAATGCAATAAAGATAGCAAAACAGAGAAACTGTCTCTAGATACGTACCAAGCAACTGAGAGGAATTACACTTGTGGATAAGATCTCAGAAGAGGAAATGTCAAAGGCATTGCAAAAGATGAAGCACGGAAAAAACATAAGCCAGATAACACACCAGTAGAGGCATAGAAAGACTGTAGTTTTAAAACATCTGAAAATCACAATTTATTATAAAATAACGTATATACGTATTTTTTTCAAGACCATCAATGTTCCAGTCGAGAGTTCAAGACATCAGCTTTATTCCTGCCATCCCTGATATGTTATTTTGATTTAAGTTGTTATTTTAGATGTTGGGGTAATTTTCTTTTCACAAGTTACCATAAGTGTTTTGATGATGGCATGTTTACTACGGGCTATAGAAACATAGCTGTCATGCTGCACCTCTCTATAATGAGGCGTGTCTGACCTGATCTAACTCTTATAGCCATACAGTTCACTATATTATATCGCTTAGGTATAGTAAAATGATTGATTTTTAACTCCTTTGTTTAAAGTGAGGCTATTACGATAACATTATCGTCTTCTCCCGAGGTTGATAATAAAGCTTATTATTAAGGTAAGGTAAGGTAATATAAGATATAAAAAAGTGCCAATAATATATATTTGCTGTATATGGTTATATAATGCACTGTAGATCTAAAGAAATTTGCGTTTCCGGCGTTTTTTCAGTCGCCGATGCGCTAGATTGAGCAGGAATACAAGATGTTAGCGCCTAGCGATCGCCCACCTTGGCGAACATTGGGTTTTAAAGTAAAGCCTCCCTCACTCAGATGATTGCCTGGCGTAGCATCGCCAGGCGATCGCCAGCATGGGCATGTTTTAAAAATAGGCAGGACTGGGATCGAATGTTTGATGGAGGTGTTTACAAAATTTATGGAGAAAGAAGTGCTAGAAGAATGGAGTACCCAGAATGAAGGTGTGGAACTGTACGGATGAAAAGTATATTCGCCTAATACATCACATGTACCAAGGTAGCAAAACGAGGGTGTGATGTGCCACAGGAACTTAGACGATTTTGAAGTTATTGTTGCTCTACACCAGAGATCAACACTCAGCCCATTCCTGTTTGCCATTTTCATTGGCAATTCAAAGGGGAGTGTATAAAAATAAGCTTCAAGGGATATGTTGTTTGCTGGTATTGTTTTGAGCGGTGAAACAAAGAGATAGACGAGAGGCTGGAAGAATGGAGAGCGGCCATGGAAGATCAGGGCATGCAAGTAAGCCGACAGAAAACAGTCTCCATATTCATGGCAGACCCAGATATAGGGGAATATTTCGGTTCTTAATGGAGATAGGTCATTCAGCTAAGCAAAAGAAAATGAAAGAGTTCGAAAAAAACGTAATGCAGTTAAAAAGTTCAAAATAGAAAAAGTCCTGTTAGGTACGATCTCTTTCGTGTCTTAAGGTTATACAGATCTGGTAGAATTGTCATGCAATTATTCGGTAAAAAATCTCTCTCTTCATAGTTGGTCCAGACTAAAGCCTGAATGAGCAGGGCAGGGCGAGCTGGAGATGAGAGGCGATAAGTTAGAGAGCGTGAGAGCTAAAACATCTTGGCTTAACAGTAAAAGTTTGGGTAGAGGCAAGGTGAAGGTTGCGAGGAGGAGTCAGGCAGGCTGAGGAGCATGGAAGAAAGTAACAGGCGTCACGTGTCA